TATACTACAATGGCTCACAAACACCAAAGAGAGAGCTGATCAGACATGGATGAAAAACAATAACAGCTCATAAACACATAGTGCTCACATGATGATGATGCTCATATACACCAATGGATGATAAACAACAACAGCTCATAAACACCAATGCTCACATGAAATTACACATAAACACCAATGGATGATAAACAATAACAGCTCATAAACACCAACGCTCACATACAATTACACATAAACACCAATGGATGATAAACAATAACAGCTCATAAACAATAACATCTCATAAACAATAACAGCTCATAAACACCAATGCTCACATACAATTACACATAAACACCAATGGATGATAAACAATAACAGCTCATAAACACCATGCTCACATACAATTACACATAAGCACCAATGGATGATAAACAATAACAGCTCATAAACAATAACATCTCATAAACAATAACAGCTCATAAACAATAACAGCTCATAAACAATAACAGCTCATAAACAATAACAGCTCATAAACAATAACAGCTCAGAAACAATAAGAGCTCTTAACATCAATGACTCAAATACTACTATGTCTCATAAAAGCCAATGGTTCATATGCTATTAAGCAAGATACAAAATTACATATGACTCATGTAATAGAATCACATAAACATAAATGCATGATAAATAATAATAGCTCATAAACATGCATATCACAGTAGGAGTGGAACAACTCAGCTAAAGGGATAGGGGCAAGGCAAGAACACTGACCTGACTCATGATTCTGGTAATCATATGGGATGGCAAAACAGCCTACACTTTTCATATGACAAAGATGATAATAATGATGATCAGCAGAGTACAACATTACTGTGCTTCCAGTTTCACTATAGGACCATAGAAGCAAGTTTTTATTTTATAATTACCTGTATAAAATCTTCCAAGGCAGCAAGGAGGCAATAGGCATTTCCGTAACATGTTCACCAACATTCAGAGAAACTTCAATGACAAACACCAAACTGTCAGCCAGTTGGGCAAGATTTCTGCGTGTCAGTGTCTTGAGGATACTTTCATCTTCATCCTGCAGCCTACAGTATAAAGTAAACGTTGAACAGGGAGTCTTATTAATATTAATATAAATGTTATATTCATAATCAAATTCAAATATTTTTTTTTTGGGTGGTGGGGAGGGTGTTATTTTTCAAAAAGACTTTTGGTCTCAACAAATGTGTGATGTGTAACTGGCCCTTTCTGATGAATCACAACTAACAAGCAAATGTGGAGACCATCATATCTGTTTACACAAGTGAATGGAGGCCAGAAACATGCCAACGGTTACAAGTAAACAGGGAGACAAGAGACATGCCAACTGATACAAGTAAACAAGGAGACAAGAGACATGCCAACTGATACAAGTAAACAGGGAGACAAGAGACATGCCAACTGATACAAGTAAACAGGGAGACAAGAGACATGCCAACTGATACAAGTGAACAGGGAGACAAGAGACATGCCTACTGATACAAGTAAACAAGGAGACAAGAGACATACCAACTGATACAAGTGAACAGGGAGACAAGAGACATGCCAACGGTTATAAGTAAACTGGATGACAAGAGACATGCCAACTGATACAAGTAAACAGGGAGACAAGAGACACACCAACTGATACAAGTAAACTGGGAGACAAGATACATGCCTACTGATACAAGTGAACAGGGAGACAAGAAACATGCCAACTGATACAAGTAAACTGGGAGACAAGAGACATGCCTACTGATAAAAGTGAACAGGGAGACAAGAGACATGCTTACTGATAAAAGTAGACAGGGAGACAAGAGACATGCCAACTGATACAAGTAAACTGGGAGACAAGAGACATGCCTACTGATACAAGTAGACAGGGAGACAAGAAACATGCCAACTGTTACAAGTAAACAGGGCGACAAGAGACATACCTACTGATACAAGTAAACAAGGAGAAAAGAGACATGCCAACTGATACAAGTAAACAGGAAGACAAGAGACATGCCAACTGATACAAGTAAACAGGGAGACAAGAGACATGCCAACTGATACAAGTAAACTGGGAGACAAGAGACATGCCTACTGATACAAGTAAACTGGGAGACAAGAGACATGCCAACTGATACAAGTAAACTGGGAGACAAGAGACATGCCAACTGATACAAGTAAACGGAGACAAGAGACATGCCTACTGATAAAAGTAAACAGGGAGACAAGAGACATGCCTACTGATACCAGTAAACCAGGAGACAAGAGACATGCCAACGGTTACAAGTAAACAGGGAGACAAGAGACATGCCAACGGTTACAAGTAAACAGGGAGACAAGAGACATGCCAACGGTTACAAGTAAACAGGGAGACAAGAGACATGCCAACTGATACAAGTAAACAAGGAGACAAGAGACATGCCAACTGATACAAGTAAACAAGGAGACAAGAGACATGCCAACTGATACAAGTGAACAGGGAGACAAGAGACATGCCAACTGATACAAGTAAACAGGGAGACAAGAGACATGCCAACTGATACAAGTAAACAGGGAGACAAGAGACATGCCTACTGATACAAGTAGACATGGAGACAAGAGACATGCAAACTGATACAAGTAAACTGGGAGACAAGAGACATGCCAACTGATACAAGTGAACAGGGAGACAAGAGACATGCCAACTGATACAAGTAAACTGGGAGACAAGAGACATGCCAACTGATACAAGTAAACGGAGACAAGAGACATGCCTACTGATAAAAGTAAACAGGGAGACAAGAGACATGCCTACTGATACAAGTAAACTGGGAGACAAGAGACATGCCAACTGATACAAGTAAACAAGGAGACAAGAGACATGCCAACTGATACAAGTGAACAGGGAGACAAGAGACATGCCTACTGATACAAGTAAACAAGGAGACAAGAGACATGCCAACTGATACAAGTGAACAGGGAGACAAGAGACATGCCAACTGATACAAGTAAACAAGGAGACAAGAGACATGCCAACTGATACAAGTAAACAAGGAGACAAGAGACATGCCTACTGATACAAGTAAACAAGGAGACAAGAGACATGCCAACTGATACAAGTGAACAGGGAGACAAGAGACATGCCTACTGATACAAGTAGACAGGGAGACAAGAGACATGCCAACTGATACAAGTAAACTGGGAGACAAGAGACATGCCAACTGATACAAGTAAACTGGGAGACAAGAGACATACCAACTGATACAAGTAAACGGAGACAAGAGACATGCCTACTGATACAAGTAAACAGGGAGACAAGAGACATGCCTACTGATACAAGTGAACAGGGAGACAAGAGACATGCCTACTGATACAAGTAAACAAGGAGACAAGAGACATGCCAACTGATACAAGTGAACAGGGAGACAAGAGACATGCCAACTGATACAAGTAAACAAGGAGACAAGAGACATGCCAACTGATACAAGTAAACAGGGAGACAAGAGACATGCCTACTGATACAAGTAGACAGGGAGACAAGAGACATGCCAACTGATACAAGTAAACTGGGAGACAAGAGACATGCCAACTGATACAAGTAAACTGGGAGACAAGAGACATGCCAACTGATACAAGTAAACGGAGACAAGAGACATGCCTACTGATAAAAGTAAACAGGGAGACAAGAGACATGCCTACTGATACCAGTAAACCAGGAGACAAGAGACATGCCAACGGTTACAAGTAAACAGGGAGACAAGAGACATGCCAACGGTTACAAGTAAACAGGGAGACAAGAGACATGCCAACGGTTACAAGTAAACAGGGAGACAAGAGACATGCCAACGGTTACAAGTAAACTGGGAGACAAGAGACATGCCAACTGATAAAAGTAAACAGGGAGACAAGAGACATCCCTACTGATAAAAGTAAACAGGGGGAACAAGAGACATGCCAAATGATACAAGTAAACTGGGAGACAAGAGACATGCCTACTGATACAAGTGAACATGGAGACAAGAAACATGGGAAACTGTTACAAGTAAACAGGGAGACAAGAGACATACCTACTGATAAAAGTAAACAGGGGGAACAAGAGACATGCCAACTGATACAAGTAAACTGGGAGACAAGAGACATGCCTACTGATAAAAGTAAACAGTGAGACAAGAGACATGCCTACTGATTTAAGTAAACTGGGAGACAAGAGACATGCCAATGGTTACAAGTAAACAGGGAGACAAGAGACATGCCAACGGTTACAAGTAAACTGGGAGACAAGAGACATACCTACTGATAAAAGTAAACAGGGGGAACAAGAGACATGCCAACTGATACAAGTAAACTGGGAGACAAGAGACATGCCTACTGATAAAAGTAAACAGGGAGACAAGAGACATGCCTACTGATACAAGTAAACTGGGAGACAAGAGACATGCCAACGGTTACAAGTAAACAGGGAGACAAGAGACATGCCAACTGATAAAAGTAAACAGGGAGACAAGAAACATGCCAACTGTTACAAGTAAACAGGTAGAAAAGAGACATACCTACTGATAAAAGTAAACAGGGGGAACAAGAGACATGCCAACTGATACAAGTAAACAGGGAGACAAGAGACATACCCACTCATACAAGTAAACAGTGGTCAAGAGAGATACCTACTGATACAGTAAACAGGGAGACAAGAGACACATATACTGATACAGTAAACAGGAAGACAAGAGACATACTTACTGATACAGTAAACAGGGAGACAAGAGACATACTTACTGATACAGGTAAACAAAAGGCAAGCCAGCTGATACAAGTAATCAGGGAAACAAGAGACATGCCTACTGATACAACTAATCATACCTGTTACAATCAAACAGGGGAACAATTATCCCTGTTGATACAAACTAATGGGGAGACAATCATACTTGCTGATACACTGAAGCAGGAAGAAAATTATACTAGTTAATATAATCAAACAAGAAGACAAATATACCTTCTGATACAAATAAACAGGGAGACAATCATACCTGTTGATACAGTCAAACAGAGAAACAAGAGTTGCTGCCCAGTCTTTCTGAAGCTGAGTTGTAGGCGCTCTCTTGTAGTGCAACACAGCCTCATGAAGCGAAGCCTCGGCCCACTGAATACACTCTGATTTCCGGCCAAGGTTGTATAATGAGTTCACCAGAAGCAGAAGCTGTGAAGGTCTTTCCCTCTGGACCACAGATTTTGAGCTCAAGTTCTGGTGAAGACAGACAAACTGGTAATCAGAGAATGACATGAGTGTTGTTAAGTGTTCAGCTTCTGACATCACATCACTCGGTGTATTCCCACAGTCAGTTTAAATCTTCAGTAGCCAGAGAAGAGTTTCAATTTCGACAAAGCCATTAGCAGTTTCATTATACGTCCATCTTGCCTTTCCTCTGATGAAGAGTAGTCAATGCAAGCTGTTTCATTCTTTCCAGAATGGGTCATGAGCAGGCTGAATGATTGGCAGATTGTACATCTGCTGTATATTCTATGTGACTTGTTATTTCCCAAACCTAACATAAATAAAACTCTTATCAAAACCATACTTGATTGAAAAGACTACAACAAGCAAGCAAGAGGTAAGCAGCAATACAAATGGTAGGATAACATCAAGAGATAAATGAACAGCAGTCTGAGAGACTGATAACCAGGGGTAAAAGACAAGGCCATGTTGGAGATCCATTGCAGCCAACCTTTAATGTGGGAATGACACTTGACTGACTGAACTATTAAAAAAAGCATCAAACATGACATAAGACTAAACCTGGACAAGACTTCTCTAACTACCATCCCAAGAACTAACCTTGCTGTCAAATGTCGATACAAGATTGTCTACCACCAGGTCGTATTTGGCCTCATCGAACAGCTTCTGGGTGTCCTCCAGCGACCTGCATCTACGCAGGCGCTCCAGCTGCCTGTTAGCTTCTGATAAGGAGATCACTGGGTCCTCGCTCATGTTAGGTACAATGATCCTCACTGTTTACAGAAATCACAAAACATTTCCTATGTATCAAAACACACTAATATGTAGTAAGTAAAGGACTCTTTTCCACTCCAGTAGGCGTACTGGGCACATAGGGCTAGACCTATATTTTGTAGACAAATCTGCACTTTGTGGATGGTGTGGTCAACACCTTTACTGCCCAGGACCTTACCTGGTACCTATTTTAAGCTGGGTCAGCCTGGGAGACAAAGAAGAAGAAAAAATCTGGCTCGATGAGGATTTGAACCTACCTTCATGCCTGAGGCAAGTGTCTAGCCACTGCACCACAGCAGCTCGAATTAACAGTAATACATTAACTCTTTCAATATTACGGGATAGTTAAATCAGCTATAAATCAATACATGATGCATTTGTTGGTACCAAAAGAGTTAAATCACCAACAAGCATGTCCTAGGAGTCAACTAATTAAGGGTTTCCTTCAAAGTGGGAGTGCATCTGCTTGAGAGGCAGGGAACCAACAGTCTGCATTAAAAATCAGATCTGTAAAACGGTCGTACATGCAACACTCAGGTTCTGGAACAAGTCTAAAGTCCAGAGGTTGATGAACAGCCAGAACTTTAGATCAGAGTTTACAGCCGGTGAATGTAAAGAAGAAGGAGAAGAAGAAGAAGAAGAAGAAGAAGAAAGAACAAATAACAAATAGTAAAATAGGTAAAGGACTTGTTTCTATGCTCATGGGTCTCCACAGATCACGATCCCTGGTTGCCTGGAACAGCACTCTTGATGATATCCCTCCATGCCATCATTTCAGCTCATCCAGCATCATCTCTCTTGGTCTGCATTTATGCCTCTTTCCAATGATCTTTCCAGTTGTCACGGTGTTCTCTAATGTCTCTCTTCTCATTATGTGGCCAAAGAACAATGTTTGTCTCTTTCTTATTGTTGTATATAGAGATCTACTTTCGTTAGCCTCTTTCAAGCAATCATTGTTAGTTACTCTGGCTGTCCAAGGTATTCATAACATTCGTCTCAGAAACCACATCTCTGTTACTTCCAAATTCTTCTTAATTTGTTCAGTGACATTCCAAGATTTGCAACCATACAGCAGAACAGATTCTATGTAACATTTTGGCACCCTTTTGTCAGATGCATACCAGAGTAAAAATTGAAAATGATAAAACAAAAAAATAAATCCTTTAAACTGAATTATTGTGTATTTCAGTTGAATTAATCAATTTAATAGTTTCATTTTATTCTTTTATTCTTCGGGGAGGGTGGGGTAAGGGGTTTGTCTTCCCAGTTAGTTTTATGTGATACTGTGGAATATTTTACAGCCTCGTTTGTGTGGTGACTTCATCATCCCCTGATCCATATTGTTGTCCTCTTGGGGACCCATTTAGGGGACTCACATAAAGACTTGTCGGCCCTCAATGCAAGGCAAGGGTAGAATATAGGCCTAACCCAACACCCAAGGAGGATTCTAAAAGTGCAGAGCCTATACATACATGGTGCTCTGGTACTGGGATCATCCTAGGAATCACTGTGCACTGCACATGACTGCTTAACGTCACATCCGTATATTCCAAGAAGCAGACCACAGACCCAAGACTTCAATTAAAGTTAGTTAATTGTGTATCCTTCACAGGACACTGCAGAATCAACCCCAGCATTTTTTAGCTGTTGTGGATTTTCTAGGCAAATTTACATCCTGCAGTTTGCCCCTGCTTTCTGGGCGGTCGGCTTCTCAATACCACTGTCGAAAGCAACTGGGATCGAACCCGGCACCCCAGCATTACGAAGCACGGTTGCAACACCTAAGCCACAGACGCTGACACTGTTACTGTAGAATACACCTGATAAGACAAAGTGAAATATGCCAGGCAATAAATTGTGCAATCTACTGTTTGTGTCTTCTTTGATTAAAAAAAATGGACCGGCTACTAGAAGTTCTCTTCTTACAATAGAGTTTAAGTGAGATAGTTAGCTGTTTACCCCATCCTGTGATGTCATAATTGTGTATAGGTGTATTCCCCGTGTGGGTTCCAGGGCCCCATTGTGGAGAAAACAAGAACAGACTCACTGCCTATCCCCCCCCCCTCCCCCCTCAAAAAACAGTCGACTAATTGGCAGCTTCCTTTGAAGTTGGAGAGCATCTGCCTGAACGGCAAAGAACAGCCAGCTTCACGCAAAGAAGCCAGTAAAACAATGTCCATGTCGAATCAAGCCCTGGCACAAAGCCAAAATCCAAATGGACGAACAACCAGACTTTCTGCTAGAATTTACAGCAAACAAAGAAGAAGTGTATAGGAATACATTTCCCTTCATACTTAAAAAACAAACATTTTCTTTTACGCAATAAACATTCTTCTTCTTCAGCATTCCGAGCCCTTGAGGTTTATTGCTAAAAATATCACCCCCCTCCATTTATCTCTCTGGTTGGCCATCTTTTTCCAGTTAGTAACACCAAGTGTTGCAGGTCTGTCCGGACATTATCTCTCCATCCTCTGTTCTATATTTATATTATATTTATATATAAACGGTCTATATTCTTGGTTTGCCTTGTGGTCTACGACCATTCATCTCCCTTGTATATAGTTTTTAGCAATAAACATTACCTACCTTTATTGTTGGTCATTCTATTTTTGGTGGCCATATCTTCCAAAAGCTCAGAAATGATCTCAAAGCATTCCACTGCATCAGCTGTTTCGTTCTTGAAGTGATGTTGTTTTGCCTTCAACCAGTAATACCGGACACAGAATTCTCCATGATAATTGCCTAATAAAGAAATTGGGAAGAATGGTGGTGTTTTATATATATATATATATATATATATATATATATATATATATATATATATATATATATATATATATATATATATTATATATATGTATATATATATATATATATATATATATTATATATATATATATATAAAAGCAGGCAGGGGTTGTATGTATGTATGTATGAATGTATGTATGTATGTATGTGTGTGTGTGTGTGTGTATATATACACACACACACACACACATATAAATATATATATATATATATATATATATATATATATATATATATATATATATATATATATATATAAATATATAAAATCATGCTATTGAAGATTCTAGGATGCGAAGAGGCATCATTTTCGATGCCAGTCAATCATGAAGATTATGTGTATTCATGCAACCAAATGTTGGAAAGACTGGAAAGATAAGACAAAAATTAAAATTGATTCAGGACCCAGCAGCCCCCCCCCCCCCCCCCCCCCATGCGGGCCAAAAAAATGCAGGTAAAAACTTTAGACGCCCTAAATTTCTCTGTCCCTGGATCCCTAGATCTGCAAATCCTTGCACCCCCTAGACAATTGTATTACTGCATCCCTAAATCTGCAAATCCCTGCACCCCCTAGACAATTCTATCACTGCATCCCTAGATCTGCAAATCCCTCTATCCCAAAATTTAAGAGAATGGAGGTGCTGGCAGTCTCTACTGCCTTCTTCTGGCTTGAGAATCAGCTGCACACATATGCTGTGATTGTTACCCACTCACAGAGCATGTTGAGAAAGGTGAAAACAGGCATGCTTTGTGCAAAGTGGCAAGCATCACTTCAGAAGTCCCAGGTAGTTAGCATTGGATAATTTTTTCCCGGTGATGTCGGTGTGCTGGGAAATGAGCGGGCAGATAGATTGGCTGGCTCTGCACCACTTGGTGGTGAATTGATGTATGAACAGTGCAGAGGCGCAGATAGATCATTACGGTCTAAGGAGAATGGTGCTGCAAGGAGTTACCAGGGGATTTGGACGATGCTCAACACTCAGGGGAAGGAAGAAATACTATCAGACGGTAACTGGTACCATGGGAATTGGAACTCTTTGCTTGCTACTGAAGATGGGGACTGTGCACTTATTGGAGTATCCCGATTTCTGTGATGTTGATTCTTAATTCATCATTCACAATCCCAAGATTTGTCTCTTGCATACCCAGACCTGCCTAGCTATGGATATGAGACAAACATATAAAACAATGTCTATTCAATAAACAGAACACAACACTTACCAAGAGCATCCTCTCGCCCAGTTAAGGCCATTAAAAACATCATGTCTTCGTTGTGATATTCTCCTAAGCTTGGGGATGTAGCGAGATCTGGCTGTCCAACTTTGGAAGGCAACAGGCAGCTCTTATTTAAGTTCTCGGCTGTGGCTTTGCTCAAAGACAGCTCGGACCATGTCAGGATCACCATGGCATACTCCATCAACCCTTCAAGAGTGAAGCTCTCATCGTCACCATAAAGCAAGGATGGAACTGTCAGGTGCTTATGCAGGCGCACGTACAAATTAGAGAAGATATCTGCTATGCCCTCGTACCAAACAAGGTCACATCTTCTAGCTAGGTGGAGCAAAAATTTATAAATCAAATCCAGAATGCCGTGTCCCTTCAGACACTTCTTGACGAAGGCTTTTACGTCCTCTTCTTCATTGTCAGATAACTTACTCAATGAAGAGATGTCAAAAACATTACTGCCTGCGGCCTCGCCATCATTTGCAACATTTTCATCAACATCCATGTCTTTTTCATCATTTTTATCACCACCGCTGAACTGCTTCAACTGTAACAGAGATCGGGGAAAGTACTTCTTTATCATGTTCTGATAGTCTATGCTTGTATCTTCTTTCCTATTTTTGGCATTGCGACTTCTTGTTGATCTTCGTTTATAAGCAAGAGTCCAATCATCAGACAATGATTCATCTATTTTGCGTTTTGGTCCCCTCTTTGCCCCAGAACCTGGCAAAGAAAAAGAAAATTTAAAGAAAACTGTTAAAAAATACTAAAATGTCAAATCAGTACTGTTGTATGGAGACCTGAAATAACTACTGCTAAACTACAAACTTTCATTAACTGGCACGAAATCAAAGACA